CTCATCTGCTACAAAGCTTTCTCTGCTGGGAGGAAATCAATGGCAGGGGTGATGACTCCTCAATTGTCCCTTCAATGCATTCTCAGTTTTCCTGCTTTTAGCACAGTTTGCCTTCTCCCTCTTGGCTAAGCCACCACCCAGGTACTCACAGGAAGGAGGAACTTTTCTCCCTGATATTTGGAACAACCCAAAATGTTTAATTTTAGTCTGAAGAGTTTGTAAACTAGTAATAATTATAATAAATTATAATTTAAGAACTATACCATGAAAGAACTGTATACTGCATACATTTATATTAAATGTATATAATAAAAAGTATATACATATCTATAAGGACAAAATTATTGCCTCTCCCATGGTCGTTTTCTCTTCCCTGTGATGAAAACAGTGCTGCTGATAGAGATGAAGCCACAAACTCAGGGGATAACTCACAGAGCCCTTTGTCGTGCATCACCCAGTGAGGAGCTGGGTGCCAGGCTGGGCCCCACACCTGGGCACAGGTACAGCTGCAGCCCTGGCACCCACAGCTCTGTGCCAGGCCCCACAAACACAGCAGAGCCCTCATTCTGTGCCAATATACTGAATATTGGTTATCAAAAAATAATTAAAAATTATTTTAAAAATCCCTTCTGCATAGAAGATAATGAATTCTTCATTAGCCAGCTCCAGAATTTTTTCTGAAGCTACTCAGTGCTTTCTGGTGACTTGCTGAAACTTTTCCTGTTTGTATTTTTAATTTTACCCAGCAGTTCTCACCCCAGACAGCCCAAAGCTCAATAACTCCCATCGGCTGCACACCCCCATTGCTGCTGGAGTCCCCGGTGCCAGGGAATGAACCCCAGCAATGCTCACACGGGCAGGGCTGTGCCAGCCTGGCACTGCTGAGCCCCGCTGGGCACCAGGAGCAGCCCCAGCCTGGCAGGGCAGGGCTGTGCCAGCCAAAAGCTGTTAACCCCTTGGGAGCAGGCAGAGCAGATGGGCCGGATTGGCTGCTAATGGAACTGTCCATCAATGCCTTTAATTGCAGTTTGCTTGTTTTCAAAACAGCCCATATTGATTTTTTTATTTATTTTTTTTAAGCAGAACATAAAATAAACTGCCCTGTAAACACAGAATAGACTGATAAACACAAATAGGCCCAGGCAGTTTTGTGCTTTCTTGTCCTGGGAAAGCTCCATGTGGAGATTAATCTATAAATTGTATTTGTATAAATTTTATATATTATTTTTATATTTATTTCTATATATATTATTATCTTTATATTTATTTTATTATTTATTAATATTTATATTATTATTTATATTTATTACTAATATTTATTTCTATAATGTTATCGATATAATATTTTCTAAAATATAAATATTTTAGATATGTTTTTATATAGTTATATATATTTATATTGTTTTATTTATATATTTATATAATTTGTATAAACTTATTTTAAATACAGGTGAGCTTCAACTGTGTCAAAGGTTCCCCCTCAACTGAGAGCAACAGTTTAATCACCTGTTCCCAGGGCCCTTAAATTATGTGCTGCGTAAAAAATTCCATTACAAAAAATCTTCCTGCTTAGAAAACGCAATTTAAATAAAATGTATCATTTTCTGCTTTGGGAAATAATGGATGTATTTCCATAAAAACCTTATGGATGAAAAATTACCTCTGCCTTTATGTAGTTAGGATATTAGTTTGGTAAACTCTCTGAGGACATTACAGTGAAAGCCATTTCATTTTTATTTTAATTACAGTGACTTACTCGTTCAATGGAAAAATTCTTGCACAGATAACAGCCTCACACCCCAAACTTTCTTCCTTCAGGAAGCAGCTGAGAGCCAATCCAGCTTTATTAAGCCCAAGCCATTTTATGAGCCTGAGCAGCCAATTCCCTCATCAGGTGTGCACTTACTGGACATGAAGTGACATTTTTCTCACTGCTCCCAAGTCCTTTGCCGGTAAAAACAGGTGGAAGATGCATCACAAACCTCTAATTTCTTTTTTTTTTGTTGTTATTTGAATATCACAAATTGATAATTTAAAGACATTACAAAGGTTTTTCTAACAAGGGCACCCTAGAATATGCTGCAAATTAAGGCATACATAAAGATACTGAAAATGCACACATCCTTTGGAAGATTTATATGCATGAATAAATCAACTGTATGAACCTGTAACTGTAAAGCATTTTATTTTTACCTGCAAGAAAAAGTTATGTTTCATGCAATAATTTTCTTTAACACATGATAGTTTAATTCTTATAAATAAGAGTTTCTATTTTTAGAGAAGGAAAGTCTCCAAGAACTCTTTGCCACAACAAACTCCTGAAAACTGTCTGTTTCAAGAGAAAGGTTTATGTTTGCAAAGCAAGCACTGACAAAAAGAAATCATTTTGGGCTCTCTGGTGTTTTCTTTCCCTGATTACCCGGAACGCCAGCAAGCACCAGGGTTTTACCTCCCTGCAGGTGAGCACTGGTACATGGAACTGTGAAAAGTGCTGTGCTGCACCATGGGGAGCCCAGGCAGCTCTGCTGAGCATCAGCTGCATTTATCTACTCAAAATCACACAGGACCAACCTCAAAACCAAAATTAACAGTGAATTCACGTTGTCATTCTATGGCAAAAGTTCCATACCTTCTCAGTGAGGTTTCATGGGCAGCTCCTTGCAGTACTGACTCCCTCCTCACAGCAAACAAACCCCAACCCTCTCCTCACCCCCTCACTCACTCTTTTATAGCTCTGTCCTTATTAGACACAGCTGTGGCCTGTTCCTAATCTGTGGTAATTAATACAGCTGCAACTCCTCAGGGCTGAGATTGCCTTCTGCACTATCTTCATTTCCTTATATTCTATCCCCCCACAAATTAAAAACTACTTTTCATATCTTTCACAGTCATCCCCCCAAAGCCTTTGTCCCAAAAAAGAACTCCCCCCAAAGCCTTTGTCCCAAAAAGGAACTTTTTTGTGTGTGTTTTTTTAATCAAGAATTTAAATGGTGCTTTATTAATGTTTATCCTTAATAAAGGCAATAAAGCTGCAAAGAAGAGGAAGGGGAGTAAGGAAAGAGAAAGGAAGGAAGTGGTCTGAGGTGTTCCTGCTGAATTATTTGGGATGTCAGAGTTCAGGAAGGAAAAGCACAATCAGGAAAACCTGCAGGCATTTTGCCTCGGGGTCTACCCTTGGCAAGGCCCAGTGAAAGCAGGAGGGAAAGAGCAGTGCAAGCAGTGGAATGAGAGAAAACACAAAACCCACCCCAGTGCTCTCTGCACACCCACAGCTCCGTGTTGGGGCGCATGTTTGTGTATAATTGTGTGTTAATCACACCCTTAGCATGGGCCATGCAGAACTGAACAAATCAGCTCTGGAAAATGTGCCCATCCAGCCTGAGTGTGGCACAGAGCTGTACAAATAAAAAGCTGTAAGTGCTTAATGGGCATTTGGAGCATGGCAGGAGTGACCTCCCAGGCTGAATTAATGATGGATCACCCAGTCCCAGGGCTCTCCCTGGCATGGCCCCTGACCTTTTTATTCAATGACTGCTCAATCCAGTTGTAATTTATTCTGATGCCTGCAGCTTGCTCCACATTTTTGAGGCACTAAAGCTGCTCTTTGATTAGTGATTAGGGTGTATCTTTATCTATTTGAGAGGAGTATTTTAAATGAGAGCTCTGTGACAGGCCATGGTGTCATCCATGGAAAGGGCACTGGCTCCCGGCTGACCCCGGCCAGCCAGGGCTGGGAGTCAGAGCTGCCCAGTGGCTCATTCCATCCTCTGCATGCAGGGAACTGATGGGCTTGGTCCAGAGCTGCAGTGGATAAATATCCACATCCCAAACGGTCACCAGAGCTGGTGCTATAATGTCACTCTCAGCACAAGGTCGAGGGGTGAGCTGGCAGAGAAACTGAGCTGTGTTTGCAAACCTAGGAGGCAAGAGAAAATCAGGATAAAACCAGCCTGAATGGGGGGCCTGGAAAAATCCCTCCCCATCCCTGGGGCTGATCCAGAGCTGCTGCTGCTCTGAGGTTCCTGACAATCCAAACTCTCTTTCCAGAAGAATTCACTGCTGGGAGGATTGCTGAGACACTGAACTGCTGAGAAACTCAGTATTTACTGGCAGCTATGGAACGTACAGATTCAAGCAGTAAATGATGTTTAGACTGATCTCCTCCATCAGCCTGCACTTTGGAAAATCAGCTAATTGAAATTAGCAGATGAAACAGCTGATCTGGCCTTACCTTCCTGGAACCTGCTGCCAGCAGAAGTTTAACCTCTGCTCTGTAATGCCAAAATAATGCCCAAATAATTGCCCACATTCCCACTGAATAACTTTCTTCCAGTATTTTCCCTCAGGCTTTGTTTAGAAGCTTTTCTTTAGAATTAGCCAAATTTGAGCTTACAAGATTTGTTGGGAACCATATGTAGCCACTTTTTGAACAGCTGAGATTTCTTCTGCTCCACTTTCTGCTTTTCTGAGTGCCATGGGGAAGAAATTCTCTGTCTCAGACCCTCCCCAGAGTTTTGCTGGTTTCCAGAGAAGCTCTGTGGTGTTTGCAGGATGCATTTTCAGGCCAGGACTGCACCATAGTAGCATTAATGTACAGCAAACACTTCAGGTTTAAGAGAACGTTTTATTCTTGAATTTGCTCTTTGTGCACAGCTCACCCACAAGGCGCAATTTCTTCCACCTACATGATTTTGGATGGATTTTTTTCTGGACAAAGGTCCAGAATTACAGTGTTATAGAGAGTTCCTACCTACTTGTACAAATAATTGAAGGTCTTGGTTTTGTTTAGAAGCAAACACTAATGCTGTGCCAGTCAGGGGATAACAGGGCATTGAGGTTTGTGCCCCTGGGAATGAGATCCTGGTGATTTTTTAACATCCTGCCAACACAGGGCCCTGCTGGTAGGAGTTAATTCTGCACAAGTGAGAGCTCCTCAGTGGAGCCTGACACAGGTGGGAACTAAAGAGAATTCAGTTTAATAGCACTTTACAGTTTAATACAGTTTAATATCAGCTCTGCCTGGGGGAATTCCTGCTCAGGGGACAGAGAGCTGTGCCTCACAGCCCAGCTGGGATGGATGGGGGCTCCAGAACGTTGTGGTTGTCCATAATTCCTCTGAATTATCCTGAAATTGGGGTAATCCAGCAGTGTCCCAAGCCTTAATTTGCTGTTCTTGCTCTCCTAAAAGCAGTGAAAGGCTCCACATAAAACACCCCAGTCCGTAGGAATTCTGGTTTAAAAAGCAGGTGGAAAGGGAAAAGTACACTCCTCTTCATGCCACGTGGCAAAAGCAAAATAAATCACAAATATGTGGATTTTTCAGGGGAAGGTGCTGATTTAGAGAGAGAAGGGGTTTCCAAGGGGAGTGAGCTCCACAGGGCGAGTGAACTGAAGCAGCTCACAAATATCTTGGCAACCACAGGCATTAATATTCAGTGGAATTAATGAAATAATTGCCAAGCTCTTGCACTCGAGTCATTACAGCCAGCAGAAGAGAGCTATTCAGGTTGGCTACTGGCTTGGACAGAAAACAAAGATAAATAGACAAATTCAAATGTATAACCAAGCTCTCTTTGGAGGGACTGAGTTTATTTTAACAGTGTCAATAAATGTCTGCTCATATGGGTTCAGTGGGAATTAATGTTCACCAGGAGGTTCATTTTAGAAACAAGAGCCAGAGAAAACCCCTATAAACACAAATGGGAAGATTAAATGTGGAGTGAAAATTAAATCTCTTAGGAATTTCCCCTTAATTTCTATAATTTAATAATTTGGGAAAAGCACTACTTTCAGTTTTGTCACAGGAAAGAAATCCAGTTTTATACAAGATGCGAAAGGTAATCAATTCACTTATTAAAAATATAGGAAACATGAGTGACAGCATTACTGTGTTATTAAAATTTAATTTCAAAATATAATTTGCAGGATGAAAACTGCTCTTTCTTAATCATGCTCACTGCCATGGAACAGCTTTAGTAAAGTATATTATTAGATAATTTTACTTTCCTGTTGAGAAATTAATTCTGAGCATTAAAAATTGCTTGATATAGAATAAATTTTATAGATGGGTATATATATATCTATTTAATATAAATATCTATTTAATATAAATATAAGTAAATATAAGTAAATATAAGTATTAAAAATTGCTTGATATAGAATGCTTGATATAGAATGCTTGATATAGATGAGTATATATGTCTATTTAATATAAATATCTATTTAATATAAATATATATATCTATTTAATATAAATATCTATTTAATATAAGTAAAAATATCTATTTAATATAAATATCTTTTTTCCCTTTTGAGCTTTATGGGCCACAGACTTTATACAGGATGAGCACAGGAGAGAGGGCAGGGTGGGTAAGAGGTGTCAGCCCAGTGGGGGAAGGGAGCAGGGAAAAGGGAAATATGCAGATCAAGCCATCTTTTCATAGGACAATAAAATGACATTGTTTGTTGAGGCTGATCTTGCCATGAAGAGAATCTAAATCTGCTTGGGATCCAAATCCAGAGTCCTAGGGCTCAGCTGAGGTGAGGATGAACGACCCAGACCTGCTCTCTGCAATCATTTCTCCTTAGCAGGGACATTGCTCCTTCAGTCTCAATGAAAATCTGCTTTTAACAGCAGTGCTTAATTTATTGCCAAATTAAGCAGGCAGGATTTTGAAATAAGAAAAGGACAAAAAGCATGTAATTCAAATGCAGCAGTGCTGTTCTCTTATTAAGATTGGTCTCTGTACACTTTCTAATAAAAGCCAGGGCATAGCCAGACCTGACAAGTAACATTATCTGACCTCTATTTTTGTTTATGAATATGTGACAGAGTTATTTTAAAGAGAAGGGCTAAGATGTTTCAGAGAAGTCACTCTGCATCAGCTCCGCACCGAGATTAAATATTACTGAGAAGTGTCAGCCAGCACAGTGAGCCCACTGAGAAGAGGCAAAAAATAAATTTCTCCCTCTGAAGTGCAATAGTCTGGGCTTTTTTAAGTCTCCTGTAAGGTGCAGAGGACAAGAATCTGACAAACAGGGGTGCCACAGGACTCACAACAGAATTGTGCTGCCTCCTCAACGGTCATGGAAAATGCACTGGGGTTCACACTGACGTGAGCGTTACTAAATCCCAATCTCTGATGTTCTCAGGAACAGAATGTTCATTTTCCGTGCTAATTGAGTGGATAAAGAGGATGAATTCCCCCGAGGGAGGGGAAGGGGCTGGCTGGGGTTTGATCTGCCCTCGGTCTGCAGCCAGATGTGGCTGGGATGGGCTGTGCTTGCCATCTCACTGCTCCTGCTTGGGGTAGAGCTCTAACTCTCCTTTTCCATGGCAGAGGGTTTGTATGCAGAGTGAGGAGCAGTGTGATGGGCTGTTCCTAGGACTGTGATGCTTTATTAATATAAATAGCACTTTCATTAGGGTATTGTGGCAAGGGGGTGCAATTAGAGGTGGGATAATTAACGTGGAACATGCAAATCTTTACTTTCAGGGAATGCTTAATGTAGGACACTGTGGATGTTGTCTGACTGTAGTAACACCTTGGTGCTCTCTTTTAATCGTCATCACTGAAAATGGAATTTATGCCTTCGGGTAATTCAAATCAAACCGCAAATACTGCAGTGGAAAAAAGCCCAAAAACCTACCACAAACACTCAGGGAAAAATACAACAGCAAAACAATCCAAGTGGTAATTCATTCCACTCCTTAAGCAGAAAAGAAAAACAAAGCTAGCTGTTAATTTTCTCTTTAATAAATGAAGACTGCTGATAAACTTATTGATAGACAGATATTCTGGCAACAGATTGTCAGAAACATCTCACCAGGCCACACAAGCAACCCCCACTCACTGACAAGCTGTCTGCAAAGTCAATCTCAGAACCTGTAAAATATCCCAGGTTTGGAGCACAAATATTTTAGCGATGAAGTAAATCCAGAATAAGTAAGTGCTATTGTTTGCATATTTAACCTAATAGAGTTGTTAAATATGCAAAGACCTAAATTTAAGTGCAATATTAACAGATATTTGTTATCTCCAATAACAGAAGAGATGTACTCACAGCTCCCCAAGCAGAAACCACTCAGTTACAAATCCAACAGCAAGCGCTGCTCTTGGAGCAGCTTTGGGCATCTGCTCCTCCACACCAAACGTGGCAGAGCTTGGGGTGAGCTCCTGCTGGAATTCCAGCTGGGATATCTGGGGGGAAATTTTGCACTGGGTGTTCATCACCAGACTCAACATTTCCCTAAATCCCTTCTGAGACCTTGCTCCATCACCAGGTTCTACATTGTGCAGGCACTACACGGGATGAAGAAGTTTGTAATTATTTAAAGAGACCAATTCTGTTTCTTCTGCTCCTCCTAAATCCCCGCTCTGTTCCAGCAGTCATCAGGAAAGATGGGAAGGCCTTGTTAAGCAAACCATGTCCTGCTGAAACCGTAATTGCTTTCTGGCTGTAGCAGCTGTTCAGCCGTGTTAACACCTCCTTAATGATTCTGGGAGATGCTCAAACCTGGATGGACACAATCCTGAGCAATGGCTCTGTCTCCCCCTCTTTGAGCAGGGTTTGCACTGGGTGCTCTCAAGGAGTTATTGAGAATGTTGTTTTTTTTGAAGGTATTTTAATTTCATTTTTGTTTTTTGCTAGAGAGCCCAAGATGTCAAATGAAAGTTGCACATAATTAAAAAAAATATCTTTCTGTACCCTCTTGTTTCCAGCTGGCTGAGCACCAGACCAGGGTGTGTGGTCACTGTGTAAAGGAGCCAGCCAGGAACTTCTCTCTACCTCTAGATGGGATTTCTCTGGTTGATGAGATGTTCAAGCTACTCTTGATCCCTGTTGGTGTTTCCTCCTTCATCCAAGGGGACACCACGGCCTCAGAACTGCTCAGAGCTCCAGCAGAGATTCAGCTGCATTAAGAACAGAAAGAGCAGGAAGAAGTTCTGCTTAGAAGAGGAAATATTTACAAGACAGGTACTGGTAGGAGACGGGTATCAGACACAGGGAGGTCACCAGATAGGACAGACACACAAAAAAAAAATAAAATGTGTTACATACGCACGCCAGGATTCACATATTACATCAGGAAATTCACAGGACGTTCTCCCATTTCTCAGACTCCATGAGTTAATAGAAATGGACAAATCTCTAATGGAACAGGACATAAAATGTCCTGGGCAATGCCTCAGCTCCACGCTGAACTGAAATATGCAGAAGCACAGGCTTTGCACCCCTGAGGCCAGAGACTCCTTCAAATGCAATTTTTGGGAGCTAAAGCAACATTTGCCTACAGCACCTGTCAAGCATCTGTTGAGGACTGAGCCTTGTGGTTTCTGAGCACACACCATGGGCTGCTCCCAGCTCTGGGGCTGGCCTGGCGCTGAGCGCTGCAAACTGGGCCCCAGTTTGCTCAGGAAAAATAAACTTTGGTCAGGAAAAATAAACTTTGGTCAGGAAAAGGAAACTTTGGTCAGGAAAAAGATAGTTTGGTCAGAAAATCTTGGCCACAGTGAAAGGAAAGGCAAAGCCAGCTCCTAGCAGAGGAGGAGGAGGAGGAGGAAACGGCCCTATCACACAGGCTCAGGAATTCCAGCTCTTCATGGCACCACCATGACTTTTAAGTCAAAAGCATAAAACTGCTTTCAATTTGGATGTCTGTCTTAAATTCTCTCTTAAATTTACACCTCTAGTGGTAAGACACAATAATAATAATCTACCTGGTTTTATTATATAGAAATAGAAAATACAGAAATTAATAATTTATAAACTACATCTTTCTATTATATATAGATATAGAAAATACAGAAATTTATAATTTATAATCTACCTCTTTCTATTATAGCCAGATATAGAAAATACAAAAATTTATATTTTTAAATCTATTTTTACTATATATATATAGATACAGAAAACACAGAAATTTATAATTTATAATCTACTTGTTTTTATTAAAGCTAGATTTAGAAAATAAAGAAATTTACATTGTCAGAAAAGAGGTAAATCATGAACGTATATTGGTTTACAGTGTTCCATGTTAAAAGAATGCAGCTGTGCTTCATTATCACACTGATAAGGACTAAATGGGATGTGAGTAAGGAGTCCTTGGACTGCACTCCTACCTTGTTCTTGTGCTCCTGTAAAGAACACCCCAAAACTTTCCTGTTCTGGAATTGCAGCTAAAGGGATCCTTTCTGCACTTTTCCTGATACTTCTCTTGTTTAGTTTTCAGATTCCAAATTAAAAAAAAAAAAAAGATATTTTTCAAAACATGCAAATTGAACATTCATTAGAATGGGATAAGATGCCTTCCAGAACAATTTGAAAAAATCAAGAAAAAAATAAAGAGAGCCTGCACAGAAATGAAACAATTAAATTAGCAAGGCTGCCCCAAAGTGCAGTTTTATAGCCCAGCCTAAGCAAGACACGCAGTGTGCTGCTTCTGCTCTGATACATCAGCGTGAGCATAATTTCACTGAAATTGGCTTAAAAGCCTCCATTTCCAAAGGAAATATTTACACATTTTCATAAATGTTTGCTTTGCATGAGAAGAATTCTTGTTATAAACAACAAATAAAAAGTAGTAGAAGCTGAGTAAGATTAGCTCTAAGAACCAAGACTAGCCTCAGAAATCGAGTTTTCTCCTCAAAGATACTGTTTTTCCTTCTGGTACAAAAGAAAAAAAAAAGCAACTAGAAAAGTGGATATTACAACAGGAACTAAAAATAGCAAATAACTGTTTGAAAAAAGTCTCTTGATTTGCCAGAAGAACTTGGTTTTGAAAAGCAATTCTCAAGTGCTTCCTCTGTGCTTCCTTCAGTGGCGTTATATGGGAATGAAAAAACTCAAGACAAATTTGACACTTCTGTCAAAATGAACACGCTGTTCCTCTGTCAGACCTTCTGTGGTTTGCACAGGGGCAGGACCTTGGTGATCCTCAACGCTTAAAGACTTGTGAAAGAAAAAAAATCCCCACAATTTAAACTTGTGACAGTATTTACCTTGTGAAGGAGGCAGGAAGAACAAACATCGTGTGCTGACCTGTGCTGGTGTGGAGAGGACACTGCCTCCTCTCCAGCTGCTCTCAAACATCCTCCCTGCTCAGGGCAGGAGAACACACACAGAACCTTGTGCTCAGCCCTCATTTAGAGTTCTTCAAAGCCATAACAGCCAGGGAGGAGGAAGGGAAGGTGATTGTGGTAAACACTCACTGATGGAAGCCAAACCTGAACGTTTTGTATCAGTAAAATGAGCAGGAAGAGCCAAAGTCTGAACAGCAGGAGCCAGGAGAATGAGATGAGCTCCCACTCCAGACACAAAGCACTGCAGACTGCAATTTCATCTTGTGACACCCTACAGCACTTACAAACTGACTGTACATTGATATTATTGCCAAGGCCATGTTAATGGAGAAAGCACCCAGACTTCTCTCAGAATAAGAGGCAAAAAGGCAAACAGAAATCCAGGGAATCCAAAGCTTCTCTTGGGACATTGTGACCCTGTGAGACCTTGGAGATTTGGACAATCCTTCTGTGGTGTTAATGCCCTGGGTGCCCTGCTGGTCAGCCTGTGTCACAGACACATTTTATGGAAAACCCTTTCCTTAGGATTTTTCCTCCTGAGAAGCTGGGAGGCCTCAGGAACAAAATGCAAACAACGGTTATCTGCTGCTGTGGGATGCAACAGGTGCATCTGGGATTGGGCTCATGTGGTTGTTTCTAATTAATGGCCAATCACAGTCAGCTGGCTCAGA